GGGAACCCTGTCCTCAGCGCCAGGGACCTTGTCCTCAACACCAGGAACCTTGTCGTCACCGCCAGGAACCTTACTGTCACTCCCGGAAACTTGTCCTCACCGCCAGGAACCTTGTTCTCACAGCCACGGTCCTTGTCCTCACCGCCAGTAACCTTTTCCTCACCGCCAGAAACATTGTCCTCCCCGTCAGAAACCTTGTCCTCACCGCCAGGAACCTTGTCCTCATCGCCAGGAACCTTGTCCTCACCGCCAGGATCCTTGTTCTCACTGGCAGGAAACTTGTCCTCACCAGCAGCAACCTTGTGCTCACGGCTAGAAACCATGAGCTCACCGGCAGGAACCTTGTCGTCACCGCCAGGAAACTTGTCGTCACCAACAGGAACCTTGCCGTCACTGCAGGAACCTTGTCCTCACCGGGAGGAACCTTGTCCTCACCGGTGGGAACCTTGTCCTCACCGCCAGATACCTTGTCCTCATCGGCAGGAACCTTGTCCTAATCGGCAGGAACCTTGTCCTCACCGACAGGAACCTTGTCCTCACCGCGAGATACCTTGTCCTCATCGCCAGGAACCTTGCCCTCATCGGCAGGAACCTTGTCCTCACCGCCAGGAACCTTGTCTTTACCGCCAGGGACCTTGTCCTCACCGGCAGGAACCTTGTCCTCACCGACAGGAACCTTGTCCTCACCGCCAGATACCTTGTCCTCATCGCCAGGACCTTGCCCTCATCGGCAGGAACCTTGTCCTCACCGCCAGGAACCCTTTTTAATTATTTACCCTCTACTTCTCTTTTTTTTCTTTTTTTTTTTTTTAAATACAAAGAGTTAACAAGAACAATTCGAATGGAAACGTACCTGAGGGGGAGATACGAAACGAAATTTCCCTTGGAACTGAACGATCGAGTTGCTGCACTTCGAAATCTTATCGCATTCTACTAAGCGCATCCACATTCACATGCTTCTCTCCACACTTATGTTCTAATTCGATATCATATTCCTGAAGGGTTAAACTCCATCGCAATAATTTCCTATTCTTGTTTTTAACCTGGTTTAACCAATCTAAAGGGTTATGATCCGTTTGAAGGATAAATTTTCTTCCAAACAGATAATACCTAAATGTCTCAACTGCCCAAACTATCGCTAAGCACTCTTTCTCAGTTGTAGACAACTTCATTTCTCTAGGCTGTAACTTCCTACTGGCAAACACAATAGAGTGATCCTGACCTTCATTATCTAGCTGACAAAGTATGGCTCCTACACCATAATCCGAAGCATCCACTTGTAAAATAAACAATTGATACCAATTGGGGGGCCTTAGAATTGGGGAGACTTCAAAAGAGATTTTAATTCATTAAATGCTCTCTCACAAGCAGCCGTCCATCGTACACGTGTAGGCTCAGTTTTTTCGTCAGGTTAGTCA